TATATAATAAAGTTCGCAAAGTTCTTACTTATTATTAAAATACTTAACGTAATATAAATAATAAATATCCTATACCGGGAGGTCGAATATAAGTTCGGTATACTAAAAAATATTATTATAAATAAAAATAAGCTCTTTATAAGCGTATTTTAAAAAGAGTTTGCTAAGGAACGGGCGATATGTTACTAATTATTTACTACGTATTATTTATAAACGGACGGCTAAATAGAGCGGACCTATTAAATATTAAAAAAGTATTTAAGGATCTATACTAAGGGCTTACTAAATAAGTAAGTAATATAGTTAAAAGAGGCCGAGTTTATATATAATAATAACTAATACTCTATTATAAAAATATCCCCGTATATAGTACTATACGGCTATTACCCTAAGTACGTTAAATATATATTTAATTATAAAACTATAGTTTAGGGGGTTTAAAAAAGGGTTTAAAAAATTAAGGAGATTAGGGCCTAAGCTACGTAAGCATAAGTATAAGCTTCTAAGAGCTAAGTAGCTTATTATAATAAAAAATATATTCTAAAAGAGTTTAATTATAAAGAGGTCGTTAGCTTATTAATAAAGAATATACGATTTAAAAATAATAAACTAGCGCTAAGATATATTAAAATAATAATAGCTAAAAGGGTAAAAAAATAGGCTTACTAAGTATATCTACTAAAGTAATATCAGAAAATATATAATATTTTCTTAGTTTCTTAGCTTAAACTATAAGGAAATTACTAAATAGTTAGTAACTAAATAGCGAATCTCTTAGAATTAGAGAACGAGTAAGACGTTTAAAAAATTAAAAAAATTATTACGATATAAAGCGAGGAAAGAAACTTACGATATTTTGTTAAATAAGCTAAGTAGTTTACTAAGTATAATATATAAGAGCTTATTAAATATCTTAAAAAAGTAATAAAAATAATTAAAAAATTCGAATACTATAAAAAAAGAGTATATATAAAATAGGATAATAAACGTTAAGTTCGTAATAAAAAGTTATTAAAAATAAGTTAATTAATAATACTTTATAGAACCCTTTTTATCTAGCTTAGTATAATTTTTTAAAAAAAAAATATAGTATTATAACCCTTAGTAATACATTATTAAGAAATTACTAAGATCTAATTATATAGGGAGAGTAACTTACGTAATATTAATAATAATAGTAGCGGCTTTAGTATATACTTCTAAAACTTAATAATTAATAATAATAATCTACTTAGTAAATAAGAAATAAAGAGGCTTTATGCGCATACTCGGCTAATTATTTAGAATAAGGCCGTTAACTTTATTAATACTATAATAAATAAAAGGGAGGTAGTTAAAGTTATATAGAGTATTATATATATTAATAATAGCGGTTTATAAAGCGTTCGCCGCTTAGTTACTATTAGAAATTATAATAAGAAGTATAATAAGAGCTATAATAAGAGGTATAATAAGAGCTATAATAAGAAGTATAATAGGAGCTATAATAAGAGGTATAATAGGAGCTATAATAAGAGGTATAATAAGAATAAGAAGCGAAGTAAGGGGTATAACGCTATTATTATTAATAACGGGTTAGGAAAAGGGGACGTTATCTAAAATAACGCTCTCGTAGTCCTAATTAAACTAAGGGGCCTTAGTAATATTAATATTTATAAAGAATATATTAATATCGAACTACTTATTACGACCCGTAGCTTTAACCTTAGTACGAATAATAGCCTCGTTAAGCTATTATAAAGCTTTTATTTAGAGCGAGAGGAGTATAATATTAGCTTTATTAAGATTTAAAATAATATAACTAAGGGCTAGGGTACCCTCGTTTATACTAAAGAGAGCGTTATAAGTAAGTATTAATAAGTTATTAATATTAAAGTAATAGCGCTTATTATAACGTTAAAAAAAAGAATTCTCTAAGTTATTACCGAGCTCTTTAAATTCGGTATCTTCGTATTAAGGCTTATTAAATTTAAACTTAAAATCGTCCTACTTATTATTATTATTAAAAATATAGTTAGTAATAAAAGTACGCTTCTTAATAAGAGTTCGAGTCTTAGGACTATAAGAAATAGGAGTAGCGCTATATATAGTAATAGTATAAATAAGTACCTTATTTACTAAGAACTTAGTAATATATTTATAAAAAGTAAAAAAAATAAGAAACTCTTAAATATATATAATAGTAACGCCCTTAGGAATCTCTTTATAATACTAAGCTAGAGCGTTAAGGTTATTTTATAAAGCGGTTATATAGCTATTATTATAAAAGTAAGTTAGCTAGAAGTAACTAAAATAAAAAATAATCTTAGTCTTATTATTAATATTAAAAATACTAGCTTAAAAAGAGAAATCTAAGTTAGTAAAAAGAAAATTTACTAAACGATCGCTAACGACTTACCGTAATTAAGATTAATAAGTTTAAATACTTATAGTTAGTAACGAGCTTTTAAAAAGTAGCCTATTTAAAATAAACTTTTTTTATTTTATTACTTACTAACGGGTTAGCAATATAAGTAGCGACTTTTTCTTATATACTAATAATATAGCTAAAAATATAAAAAACGTAACTACGTTTATAAAAATTAAGGCTACCTTATTCCTCAGTATTACGGAACTTTATAAGGGTATTTTAAATAAACTAAGCGGCGCTATATAGCTCCTTAAGAACTTAAGAAATATTATTAGTTAATATTTTAATAACGGATTAGCGAGGACTCGATGACTTATAGTGGAATATTTCTTTTTATTAATCTAATAAATAATATACTTAATAACGTAAGTATTAGTAATATAAACGAGCTTATTAATATTACGATATATACTAGCTAAGTAGCGTATATAAAGAGTACTACTATAGAGACTGCGGAAGCCCTTTTTAAAATTATATTTTATATTAAGTATATTTTAGATATATAAAATAGTAAATATTTTAATAAATACTTAGTAATAATATAGCAAGAGAGTTATAATTAAGAAACGATACGGAGTTAAAATATTATAAAAAAAAAAGTATAGTTATATAAAAAAAAATTCGTAAAACGGTTACTAAATAAAAAGGGGAAAAAAAAAGTAAATACGTAACTAATAATAAAAAAAAAATCTTTTATTATACTTAATAACTTAATAATAATAATAACCGCGAGGCTAGGTAGGCTCTTATATATTATAATAATTAGAATACTTTATTACGAATATATATTACTAACTTAGTAACTAGTCGGCGCGCTATTACTAAATAATAATAATAAGGTATTCGTTAGATAAGGGGATAAGAGTAATACCTTATTTTTAAATAAAAAAGGATATTATTAACGCTTTATAGAATTTATTATAAATAACGACGTTAATAGTTTTATTATTAATATTAAAAAAAAATATTATATAATAATTTTAAGGACTAAAGTTACGTAAAGGGGGAGTAATTATAATAAATTTAGGATACGGCCGGTAATAAGATACTAATAACTTAGTAACTAATATATAGTTCGTATTATAAAAGAACTTTTTAAGAAGCAGAGCCTTTATAAAAGACTCTATAAGCTTTAGTTTTATAATATACTTATATTTATATTATAGCCTCGCTAGTTAAGTACTTATAGCCTAATCTCTTATATTATTATTATTATTTTTATTTATAGTATTATTAGAATCGATTATAATAAGATTCTCTTAAGTAGAAATATTTTTAAAAAAAGAGGTAATAACTTCCTCTTTTTCTATTTCTTTCTTAACTTAGGAGAACTTTTATTAAAGCTAGTAAAAACTATTAGGCTAAGAGGGGGGATAGGCTAGATAGTTTAGAATTAGTTTATAATTAGTTTTAAACTAGTTTTAAAATAACTTATACTTTTTTTAAAAACTATAAGAAGTATATTTAAACTTAGTATTTATATTAATAATATGACGTATAGTAACTATATTAAGCTAAGTAAAAAGTAAAAATTAGTTTAAAATAAGCTAGGAATTACTTTAGAATTATTTATAACTTCTTTACCTCCTTTATTATATATAAAGACTTTTAAGAGGGGAGTAGGAGATCTAGCCTTTTTTTTTTAAAAAGAGTAAAGAGGGGGCCGTAGACTTTACGGTTTTTATAGACCTTTTCTAATTTATTATAAAAAGCTAAATAAATAATTAATTAACTAGTTCTAAACTAGTTTTTAATTAGTTCTAAAATAGTTCTAAATTACTTACTTAAGGCTTTATTATTTATATTAATAAAGTTAGTACCTATTTTATAGTTCTTAATATATATTAAGATATTATTAACCTTATACTTATAGATATAAGTATAAAGATTATTTTTAAAAATAAATTAAGTTTTTTAGGAATTTAGAATTAGTTTAGGATTAGTTTTAAATTACTTAGGAATTACTTATAGTTATATAAGTAACCTTTTTATTATTAACTAAAAATCTATAATATACTTTACTAAGTATAAGCTTAATCTTATTATTTTAAATAATTTTAAATTAGTTCTAAACTAGTTCTAAACTAGTTCTTAATTATATACCTTATTATATTTAAAAAGGGGTAAGTTCTTATAGCGGATAGGATTACTCTTAGGGCTAGGAATACTTAAATAGTAGTCCTAGTACGCTTTTTATTTAGAATTAGTTCCGAATTAGTTTAAAAATAATTATAAAATACTTCTAAAAAATATAACTTACTAAATACTTATAGGAGATTATAATAGGTAGAATTAATTTAGAACTAGTTATAAATTAATTAGGGAGCGAAAAGGTAGATTAATAACCCTCTTTATAAAGGGCTTAATATAGATAAGTAATAAATAGGATACGAAGCTAATAGGGGTATAATAGGGGCTACTTATATAGTAAGGTAAGAGGTATATAATTAGTAATATGGGTTATAATTAGTAAAAGTAGTCTATACTTAGCTAAGGATTTTCTAATTAATTAAAAATCCGCTTAATTAGTCCTATAGTAATTAAACTAGCTAATTAGAAAATTAGTTAGGTTACGTCCTTTTTTTTATAATTAGGTTAGGTAACCGGGGGGGCCATAGGTTAGTTTACCTATGTTCACGCCAGGAGGGCAGCGAGGACGGATAGATGTGGCGCGAGTGGCCTGCAGACGGACAGGCCTAGTTCGGGCCGGTAACACTCGGCCGGTTCCCCGCCGTGCCCGTCTGTGGGCAGATATTGTCTGTCTGAGCATGACTAATGAGCGGATGGGCATGCGAGAAGTTGGTGAGTGGTGCTTGGCTCCTCCTCAGTTCCAGGCTGTTGGCCGCGAACCGGTGCCAATACTCGGTATATCTATGGGCATGTCAGGTTGGTCGATGCTTGCCTACCGATTGGTGCAGGTGAATTTCGACGAGGATAGTCACGTAGACATGGGTAGCAATGCAGGTTGCCGTCACGATGGCAGCATGTTGGAACGCGTGGTTTGTGCTTTTTTGCAGGGTCGCAGCCGTATCCGTAACGCGAGAAAGATGAAGGCGACGTGTTGGCGTTGGTGAGGTTGACTATGATGAACTGTGTTGGAGAGACCGATGAGCATGATGGGAGATGGCAGAGTGCGGATACTTGAGTTGGAATAGATGTACGGAGTACAGATTAAATATTGAGGAGCTGTAATAAGGTCTTGAAGTAGGTGAGGTGCTCCGTAAACGTGATGCTGTGACATGTGAGCAATCGGGTTGTGCGTCTGTTTTCTCCTCTGAAGCAACGCAAGTGCAGCGACGCAATATCGAGTCCACCAGTGAGTCTCGACTGGACATGCTGCGTCACAGTCTGTATACGTAAGTGGATGAGATGGACTTGAGGCGTCGCGATTGTGTTGGTAAGAGAAGTCCGTTTGGTGATGGTTGAAGTTGCGTGGATTGTGCCCTTATGGTCCATCTTCCCGTCTCATTCAGTACCTTACTCACGGCAGGTTTCGAGAAGTAGTTCCAGGCTTGAGTTAGCAGACGAGATACATGTCGAGACTTGGAGGCTGAAAGAGGGGCCATTCGGGGTCCTTTTCCCCGCTCAGATGGCCCTCTTCGCAGTCACGCAGTGCACTTTAGGCAAGGTAAGTAACTAAGGAAATCGCGGCAAGCGCTGGGATGCAGCTGTCACCGAGAGAGGAAGCCAACCTAAGGTGGGGACCTCAAGCTTACCTAAGGCACCAGGAACAGCGAGGCAAGGCAAGGCTGCCAAGGGTGCGTAATGAGGTCCTGGAGCAGGTCTTCTGACATCAGATGTATCTCCACACCAGCTTTGGCACGAGAGATACTTGAGAGCTCACCTTCCAGGCTGAGGTCTCCTCGCCGGCTCTCCCCAGCAAAGGTGAGGCCCAGGCTGCTGCTCTGCTGCATCATCACTCCCTCCCGCTGCGTCCATTATTACCTGCGTACCTACCTTACCTTACCTTAGGTACGAGTAGGTAAGGTACACCAACCTGGCACATCAAGGTAGGTAGGTAGTTTTCCTCACTGCTTGACTGCAAATGCTGCAAGGCCGCCGGCCGCATACCGTCACCCGTTCCCCGGTGAAGTACGTGCCCGCCTCTGTTGCCTCTCCCGCTCCGACCACAACTGCACCCGCTGCACCTGCATCCTGTCTGCGTCTGCATCTGTCTCTTTTTTTTATTTTCTTATTTCCCTTCTCCTTCTTCCTCTTCCTCTTCCTCTTCCTGCTCCTTCTCCTCTCCAGGCTGCTTGGAAATGGGGAAATAGAAGATTGCATTACCATCCAACGCCCTTTTGTTGTTGTTCTTGTCGTGCTTCTTCTTCTTCTTCTTGCCCTAGTCAAGTTTCCCCTTGTCCCAGGTATCCTTTTCGGTGCTCATATCCCCACGCGCCCAAGACTGGGCTGGGACAGCCAAACGGGGGTTCTGCGGAGACACACGACCCAGACAGCATCATCGTCCATTATTCATCATTGGTTCGACTTCCAACACAACGACGCAATTGACCACCATTGATAGACAACAACCATACCCAGCGGCCATCAGACATTTGCCCTAGCTGTCCGCGACAATCCCCCTCCTCTACGACTTCTTCCTGACGTCCTCTCCGTACTACCAATCCACCCGCGGATCCGCCCATCCGTCCACCTTCAACCGTCGCCTCGCCTCCAATCTCGTGCTGTACTGTACCCCCCCGGATCAACGCACGCCCCGCGACCGACGACACCACCCGACCTCCCGTCCGCTGACGCCCCCAGCTGCATTGCATCTCGCCTGCCTGTGGTGTGGGAGCGGGAGAGCTTGATTCCTGCTGCACCTGTGCGACCATCCCCATCGTTGCTACCCCTCCGCTCGGTCGCTCATCGATAGAGTCGCAAAACACCTCCCACCCATCTTCCCAACGTCCAGTGTCCTCGACACGACGCCATCGCCGCCATGGACGAGACACCGGGGCCGCAGCCCTCCAACCATGCAGCTGCCTTGTCTGCTGCCTCTACCGCACACTACCTGTCCAGCCACTTCGCCTCCGTCGATACAATCTCAAGATCAAACTCCCCCGGTCCGCCCTACACAAAGAACGACGAGGACGACAAGAAGCGATACCGCCCCCGCACATTTAGCTACTTCAATCATCTGCCATTTCCTGTCGAAGAGGAATCACAGCGCGATGCTGCTCTGGCCGGTATTCTCAAGCACCTATACATCGCCATCAAGGCTGAAGACTTTAGCCCCGGTGCTTTGCACTGGACGAGAGAGCTCACAGGGTGGCTGAATCTCAAGTTCGAGATGACGCGAGAGCTTCGCTCAACCTTGGCCAAGCTCTACTATCACCTGTGCCTCGCCCCAGGCCTTGAGCCAAGTACTGCCGACCGCTTCTTGCGCATGGTTGTCATCTTGACGAGGTGCGCTGCTGCTCCCTACCCTTCCTCTCAATCAACCCTGCTTCTTCTTCGTCCTACCAGACTAGCCGCTGACCATTACTTCTCTCGTACAGAAAGTACCACTACCTCAAACCCGTCGATGACCTCCTACTCGATTGGCGCCCCTTATGGCGCGAGATCAAGGCCCTGGTGCTCCCCTCAGAGGTGGCTTCACACCAGACAAACAGGCGCCGCTCCCAAAAGCAGCTGTGGAAGCTATGCCTCCATGCTCAGACATACTTCGACCCCAAGGACCGCAAAGAAATGCTCGACGAGTTCCTGCCCTACTTTAGCACCTCAGATGTCTCCAACGCCTATATCGTCGTCGGAACCATCAACGCGCTACTTCCCACCGATGCTGCCCCCGAAAACGTGCCATGCTCCCAGCCGCAAGAGTTCATGCCCACACTATTCCACCTGTGGTCTTTGATCTCGAGATCCAAGAGCTTCGATGTCTTCTTCATTGACCTCTACTCTCGCATGGCAAGAGACTTTTTGCAAGCCTCCAATACGTCATTCGATGCCCACGGCATCTTTACCAGGGAACAGTCTGATTGGATTTTTACGGCTATTCTTCGCTTGACAGAGATTCCGGTCGGCCAGTCCAACTCACCATACTCGACTCTCGACTACTCGTCAGGCTTGGGCCTGTATCTCGAGAAGGACAAGAAGAAATACCCCACGGCTTACATGATTGCCCGGTGGATTGTCTACTCCTTGTCGCCCAAGTGCTTGGAGCAAGAAAGCTCCATTCTGGCGAGTCTCGAGGGCCTTTTAGAAGCCATCGACACCTTCTACCACCCCTCCAACGTGGGATCATGGACCACCTTTTTGGGACAGTTTACAGTATACCTAACAGATATCTTTGTGTCTCGTTGGAACCGCGAAAAGAGCGGCGAACTGGATACGCCAGAGGATCGCAAGATCACTCCCGCCTTGAAGCAACGATTTGTGTCTGCGCTCAAGGAGGTCACATACATGGGACTGTTCTCCAAGAGTAACAGAGTTGCGCATTACTATTACGCGTCGCTTCAGGGATTGGCATACCTCGAGCCCAATCTCATCCTACCTGGAGCTTTGCAGCGATTTTACCCAAGTTTGCAGGGTCTCGTTGAAGTACACCGGACAACGTCAAGTCTGAACGGCCTGCAAATGATTGCCAACGTCATGTCCAAGACCAAAGGCTTCCGTTGCCACATTACTGCTCTTCTGGCTCTTGCCCTTCCTGGTATTGATGCCAACGACTTGGGCAAGACACAGTACACATTGAACTTCTTCCAAAGTGTCGCCTATAGCATTCCCATGGTGCCTCTCGTCAAGGACGGCGATTATGTCCACGACACCAGCCTGGCCATGCAATGGGTTCAGGGTGAGATGGAGCGCATGGAGCGTGAGGGCCAGGATATCAAACTGGACTACGAAACTGAACTTACCGATGAGGATGAAGCAAACATCCTTAGATCATCAACAGCGGGACTCGGCGAGTTCGTCATCGCCCTCTTGGGCAAAGTCTTTACACTGTTGGAGAATCTGCCCGATGCGTCCCATATCCGGGGGGGCACGCCGGAAGACAATGTTATTAACGCGTTGCCGGCAGCTCTCTCACCTCTCTTCGCATCGCTGTCCCCTGAGCTTTTCGACACGGCCCTCGAGAAGCTCGCCTCCTTCGTTTCGACCCATGTCGTCCATCAGGCCAGAGACGCCATGGCCTGGATTCTCAACGCCCTCTGCAAGGTGAACCCGGAAAAGACTCTCAAGGTCTTCATTCCCATGCTCATTGTCAATATTCGAAATGAGATTGACTTCAATCACGCTGCATCAGACCGAAGCAGCGGTACTGACTACTTGCCGAGAGATCGCGCTCTCGTTTGGCACGTAAGCATGCTGGGTATGGCTGTTGTGCATGTTGGTAATGAGGTTTTGAAGTATCAGACCGAGCTCCATGACATCGCCAAATACATGCAAGAGAAGTGCCGTGGTTTGCCCACCATTCACATTTCCAACTACATTCACCACCTGCTATTGAACTTGACACACACCTATCCCATTGACACCGCTTTGTATGAGCCCGACATCATTAAGCGCGGACTCGACGTCACCGACTGGGGAAAGACAACCTCTCCGGCCGACCTCACAATCAAGTGGCATCGTCCTTCGGCCGGAGAAGTACAGTTTGCCCTGGAGCTGTTCGATTCTCAGACCAAAGCAGCTACAAAGAAGCTGGATCTCTTGATGAGCGAAAAGCCCCCAGTTAGCCGAACGGGAAAGAACAAGGAGTGGTCCGATGAGGTCTCCCGATTGTTCCAACAAATCAGGTTGGTGATCTCGGGAGTGGCAACATTGTTCGATGCGCATCGCGCCTCCGGTGAGATCCCGAATGGTCATTCCAGTGTCGACGGCGAAGGCGACACGGAAATGAACGACGATGATCCTCTTGCCGAGGCGGCCGAGGACGAGGAAACGCGACCTCAATACCGCTATGATGCTGGATATCTCCTCACTGTCGAAGATCCTGCCTACCACAAGCTGCATGAGCTAAGAGAAGACGTCGGACAGCTGCTATGCCGGAGTCACGAATTCCTCAACCAAAACCAAGAAGACGATGTCTCTTGCTTCACGACGCTATATGCGGCCTATCGAACCTGGATTACCGACGTCGGCATCGAGCGGTCAGCCCATCCACTCGAAAGACACCTTCGCCTCTACAAGTCCGACATCTCTGCATTTAAGATCAGTGGCCTTCGCAAGGTTTACCCAAGACCGTTGCTGATCAAGCGAGCGGATGCATATCAACTTCTACGTGTCAAACACAACGCATCGGCGCGACAGAAGAGCGACCTGGATAAACAACTCTTGCTTAATCTCGCCCAGTCGTCTGTTTCGCCTTACGCTGATGTCAGGCGTGTCGCACAAAGCGCCCTCGACTCATCTCTCAAGGCCTTGATTGGCGGTCGGCCTCTTGTGATTCCAATTCTTCTGGACAGACTCCGGGTGGCTTTGGACGATGTTGATCACGATCGCATCAAGGGCGCCATGTATACCCTATTCTTCACCAGCTTATTGAGGACGATGGTCAAGGACTGGAGATTCGCTCCGGACGCGCTCAAGCTATACCTTCGTGCCGGGAACATCGATAAGCCCAGCATCCAGCAACTCAACGCGACGGCTCTCTTCCCTCTGCTGGACTTTGGCAAGCCCTTTGAGCGTATGATCATCGTCAACCAAGACTTTGTCGAGAAGATTCGACCTTCAGACGACTGCTCCAAAGCTATCGATAGCCGTCACAACTTCATTGTTCAACGTCGAGAGCGTGTCGAGAAGAAGAAGCTTGCGCTAGGCTTGGAGTTGACCGAAATGGCCAGAGCAGCTCACTGGAAGATTGCGTCTCGATGCGCAATCTTTGCCAGCAACATGTGCTTGCGCTTCGATACGGTCGCGCCCCCTGAGTTCATCGCTTTGGTGACGGAGGGTATCAACGACACTCATCCTGGCTTGCGGTCCAGCTACATGGCTGCATTTACCAGCGTTTTCGAAGCTGTAGAGATGCGTGCAGCTTATGACCACACCTACCGCAATTACCTGCTTGAGAAGGAAAAGGACCGGAACAAGATCATGATTGAGGTCCCCAAAGGCGATGCAGCTTTCACGCAGAAGTACCTGGACGCCTTTGCGGGCAGTCCCGAGACCGCAGAGTACATGGTCGATTCCGATCATCCTGGATGGTTGGTTTGGGGCAAGAAGTTCCTCGCATCCCGTGCGAAACCCATGCCTTTCACCGACTACGACGATACGGAGACAGCTGTCCGAAAGCAGATCGGCCAACTGATCACGAAGGAGTGGCTGAAGACCTGTTTTGAGTACCTCAAGCAGGAACCTCGCGATGCGAACGCTGACAGATTCCGTATGGGCAATGTGTACATGCTGATGCACGTGTTTGATCTCATGCACTATGGGGGCACAGCGATCAAGCTCGATGACGTCAAAGAACTCACCATTGAAGTCTATGGCGATGGTAGCGACAAGCACCAGCACCGTGCTACGGCAGAGATCATTGCGGCGCTTCTCTGCGGATCGAGCGATGATCCGCCCGAGTTCCGCGATAAAGTATGGGGATTTGCCGCGCCTCTGATGCTGAAGGTACTTAACGAGGACCTTACACCCGAGAACTTGCAGTACTGGGTCTCATGCTTGCATCTTACGGTTGACCCGAAAGATCCGCGTAGGTCGCACGAGCTTGTTGATGCACTGAGTTCTTTCCGGCTGGACATGTCTTCCAATGCTGCCTTCAAGGAGTCAAGCAAGGTCCAGGTACTAGAATTCATCATCACGGACTCAGGCTGGCATTTCCGCCACGAGAAACCTATCCTCGCAGATTTCCTCGCGCACATTGATCACCCCTACAAGACAGTGAGAGAAGCCATGGGCCGTGTCATTGCCACCATCTATCGCACCCGCTATCACGAATCTTTCGAGAATGTCGACAAGTTGCTAGAAGCCAATAAGTCGGCTTCATCTCTCGGTCTTCGCCCATACGAGGCAAGCAAGGAGTTTTCTGAGACTGTGCTCGAGATCTTCGATCGTCTCGAGAAGTGGCGGCATGAGCGTACTCCCGGTCAACAGACACCTTCGTCCTACACCAGTGGTTCAAAGACTGTCTTGACATGGCTTGACAGTACGTTGTCATCACAGGAATGCACCCAGTTGATGCCGTTCTTCCCCGAACCTTTCATGGAACAGCTTCTACACATGATGGACGTCAAGGAGGATCCCGAGCTTATGAGGCTCGCCTACCACGTTTACCGTCATCTACCGAACATTCCTTTCAGAATTGGTGAAGATGGGGCTTTCATTGATGCACTGGTCCGCATCGGCAAGTCTGCCACGAGCTGGCACCAGCGGTTGCGATCCATGGTCAACATGCAAGTGATTTACTTCCGTCGCCTATTCCTTATCGAAAAGAAGCAACGGGACATCCTGTTCAACGCCGTCAGCGATATGCTCGCCGACCCTCAACTCGAAGTCCGGTCTTGTGCCTCGGCCACCTTGGCCGGCATGATTCGATGCTCGCCAAAGCAAATTCGCGATCCCACCATTGATCTCCTCAAGAAACGCTTCGAAAACGATCTTCGGCTCAATCCGATGCCCAAGAGGAAGCTCCCGGGAACGGAGACCCCCGTCGACAACAACAAGCAGATTGTGCGTCGTCACGCCGCTGTACTGGGTCTCGGTGCCCTCATCGAGGCCTTCCCCTACGCGACGCCGCCGCCGTCCTGGATGCCGGAGGTGCTCCAAATCCTTGCTACCCGTGCTGCCAGTGACCCTGGCGTGGTTGGTAAGGCTACCAAATCAATCCTATCCGACTTCAAGAAGACAAGACAAGATAGCTGGAGTGTGGATCAAAAGGTACAGTCCATCATTTTACCCCGTTCCTCGTGTTGGACATCGGCTCACATTTCAACAGTACTTCACATCAGAACAGCTTGAGGATTTGGAAGGTGTGCTTTGGAAGAGCTATTTCGCATAGTCGTCGCGACATGGCTCAAGTATGCAACGTGCATGCGTGTGTTGGTTCAGTTTAGGACATGGGCAATCATAAAAGGCATGGTGACGGAATGATATCCACCCAGGGAAGCGGGATTGCATGGCCCTGATAGACGGGCCTAGGATAAACAGTGTGCTTGTAGACTTTTGTAGTTCACATCCATCCTTTGATCGTACATACTGACTACCTCGACCTGTTTGGCTTCGGAAGCTATTCAATGAGTTGCTTCAGTGAGAGCTTTTGCAGTCGTGTCGCAGGGCCTTCACCAGCTGGATACCGTGTACGAATGCCTCGAGTCACGACATCTGTCGGGAGACTAAACTTTATTTCGAGCACGTTTAATGCGACGAACTCAGCCTAAGCGACGCGGCGTTCTGGAACACTCTGACACGCCTTGTTCCAAGGGTCTTAATTGTAGAACCTAAATCGTTCTTCAGCATTGCGATATGAGGAATGGCGCGCGGTAGCAGGGACAGGATGCTCGCTGTCGCCGTTTCGGAGTCTCAGGCCCTGACATCTGAGACGTCCCGATGGGGCGGTTCACCGTCCTCGCGCATGACTGACTCGAGGTCAGGCCTGGGCTTGACTTCAGCTAGTCAGCTAGTCGCCTTACATTGCCTTGACCTTTTTGTGGCATGGAAAGGTGTATATAAACTGGACGAACCACATTGTCATGTTCTGGCTTTGTTCGTCTTAATTGTTAAATCATCACAGCTTGTGCAACGTATAAACTTCACCATACCATCCAGCCGTAAGCCTATCAAGAACACTACATACCCATTCATCCCACCAAACGAAACTGCCAAGATGAAGACCACAGTCGCAACACTCGTTCTCTTCGTGACCATGGGTCTGAGCGCCAAGACGACCTCCCTTTGCCGAGACGTAGGCAACAAGGTGATTGAGGACAATGGAGTATGTTCTACGGCCGGAGGCGCTCCTCTTGGCAAGGGAGTAAGTTGACCCTAAAGATACCATGAACTTCTCTCAAGGGATAATGACGTACTGACGAGGCAAAAGATTTGTTGTTTTGACCAGTCCAACGCTCTCGTTAAGTCGAGGTTCGATATTGCGTGTGATGATAAGTTGGGCACGGTTCAGTCTACTGGGGAGGCTTGCGAGGCCTAGGTGGTGTGAGGCGGAATCATTTGGTCATTTTGAGTCATCTAGCATTGCCTAGCGTCATTATAGCGAGTCGATTGTCAATAAATGCCTGCATTCGAGGGTTCGGAACTTGTGAACTCGTGGTTCATCGTCCCAGTGCCAGGGAGTTAGCTGCTGTACACATGTGTACTGGCGGTCTTCACTACAGTCAGGGAATTTACTTGAGGGTTCAACCAGGGCACTCTAACATCAAGCGCTGAACGGAAGAGCTGAACTGGGCTTTCAGAAAGCGATTCCGGCCGTTGTAGATTTGAAGTTCGGTGCTAATACCTTCACCTACTTTACCTAGAGCCACATGCTGTGGACAACTAGACGGTGCCAAGGCCTGTCATCAACGCATCGAGGAGGGGTTATATCGACACAGAGGCCGCGAGCTCAGGATCACATGCAGTCAATTCCTTGAGAGCACCATCGCTGCACGACACATGTAAACATCTTAATATCGTTCTTCATACTTCTTGGTAGCTGTTCATCGGGTTTGCTGGGGATTCACATCGGATGAGTCTAGACTACAGCCTGCGGGGATAAGACGGAGACGACACAGGACAATGGCACGTCGAATGCATTGCGCCATCTGAACTATCTTTTGCGTTTGACGTGGAGGGGTTCTGGCGCAATTGGGACCAGAGAGAGGGTACTTGCCTTGTCGGAAACATCTAAGTGTACGAAGGCACAAGATATTCAATGCTGATGCGTTGCTTCGTGACATTGAAGCTGGAAAATAACTCCTTGCCGACTACTGCAGCCTGCTAAAGATTCCTCGTCCCAGTATGAAAGCGTTCACTACATTTATGGCCGTAAGTGGTCTTGTGCCATCAATAGCAGCTGACTGGCAATTTCGCTCCCGACCTGACCTCGCTCCTCCGAGGCTTAACATCACCATCCCAGCTCGAGACTCGGTAGAAGAGGGGTACATTTTCGTCGCCCCCTATGCCGGCTTTGAGGATGGCAACAGCGGACCGAATCAACCTGGAGCTTACATCTTCCGTGATGACGGGGAACTCGTATGGTCTAGTATTGGCTACTACGCCGGCTGGGTTGCCAACTTTCGCCCTGATACTTGGAACGGGAAACAATATCTACGCGGTTTCCAAGGCCTCCTTGATGGGCATCACGGCCGCATGTTTGGATATCATACTCTTTTAGGTTCTGATTACGAAGTTGCCAAGGTGGTGCGAGTCGGGTCGCACAAGTTGGTTTCGGCCCATGAGTTCCGCCTGGTCGATGGTAAGACGGCTTTGATAGAGACACCTATCCCTAGGCCCGTATCTCTCAAGCCATGGGGAGGAAGTCAAGAACAGAACTGGATCATTTCGGGTGGATTTCAAGGTATGTTACTCATGTGTTCTCGGACTCGGCGGAGGTGTTCGAAGGCTGACTGGGATGACAGAGGTTGACATTGAGACGGGCGAGGTCGTATTCGAATGGGAAAGTCTTGACCACGTTGACCCGAAGTGTAAGTCATCAGACAGACAGCATGAATCTTGCGAAAATTCCCATTTAACGCCTCATAGACAGCGCATTCCCGCTTGGCTTTGGCGAAGGCCTCCCAGGAGGCGGTAAAACCGAGGCTGATGGTTGGAACTACTTCCACGTCAACAGTGTTGACAAAGATGATGAGGGCAACTACCTTGTCTCAGCACGTAACACCGCGGCCGTTTTCAAGATCAATGGCACAAACGGCGAAATCATCTGGCAACTTGGGGGGTTCCACGGAGGTTCTTCCTTTACCCTTCCCAAGGAAGATGTCTTTGGCTACCAGCATCACGCACGGTTCCGCAGTCGCTCGGCTGATGGAACTATCGAGGTAATTTCGCTCTTTGACAACGGCGCACACTCTGCATCGGTCAAGACAAACCCGTTCTCGCGCGGCCGGATCTACCAACTCAACCACACCGACGGCACAGCTAAAGCTCTGAAAACATGCGACGCTCCGGATGGATTATCGGCCCGTACCCAAGGAAACTTACAGTTGCTTTCCAATGGAAATGCTTTCATCAACTGGGGCCAAGCGGGCGCGGCAACGGAGTACAGCAATGATGGTGACGTCTTATTTCACGCCTACCTCGACTCAAATCCCGAGGGTCACTTGGTCCAAAGTTATCGCGGATTCCGATTCAATTGGACGGGCACGCCCACAGAGGAGCCGGCTATAGTTGCCTTTAGAGGTAAGGGCTCTGTCGTCAACGTATACGTGTCGTGGAATGGAGATACTGAAGCAGCATCGTGGCGATTCTCCTCTAGGAGTGCGGCGAAGAAGAGCCTTCGCCTACTAGGAGAAACCAAACGAGACGGCTTTGAAACACACTTTCAATTCTCGAGGGTTGGTGATGAAGAAGACTCGTTGGTTTTCGCTCAAGCTCTCAGTGACAGGGACAAGGTCCTCGGGCAGACTCGGGAAATAACGATCTCAAGGAATGAGTTATCGGTCCCTCCTTTATCGGTTCAGTGGTCAGAGGAGCTTTGAGCTTCTCTTCCAAGGTCTTTCAAAGCGAGTTAGAGTACATCAGACAGAGGCTGAATGCCATCGATGACGGCAAACACGGCCAGATTTGATGTTTACCGGCAGATCAGTCGCCAAGAATAATTCTTGCAACTCTTTCGTTGCAGGAGAGAAAGCAAAAGAACCCTACCTATTCGAATTTAGAAACGTATAGATCAAGCATGCATCTTTGCTACTAATGGCATCTCCTCCCGCCAAGGCATTGGCGAAAACAACGTATCCTGTCGGGTTTTCAAGTGCGGTCCGAGTCGATTGCGATGTTCTTGGTCAAAACATCTCTCGTGTAAATGAGTGGAGATCAGGATCTAGATCCATGAGGGTTTGGACTGCGGCTCTACTGGGCGTAGTCATCATACAGCAGCCAAGTCGAGCTTCAGCCAGATTCTCGCCCAAATCAGGCGGTTCGGTCAACTCCCGACTACCAAGAGGTCTTGGTTTCTTGGACATCTTGGCTTGCCAAACCAACCCAGTCCTCTCATCAAGCCAATATCGTGAAAACATGTCTATACACCCCACAGTAGGCCCATCACTTGCCAGTTTCTCGTCTTCGTTTAGCATCAGACCTTGTCACATTACCCGAATCTTCCCGAAATATCTCGGGGCCAAGAAAGTTCAGCCGGAGGCCGGCTCACGTATCGAGAACTAAGGACCTTCATACTGATCTTGGGGACTTCGTGAGAGATGCATGCCGAGTGGCCAAGCCTATTTCGACTTCACCGCGGAGACTCCACCGTGATAAGCCGCTATCTTGCATGATCCCCTACCTGCTTCTTGTTGATAGCAATCATTGCCGTGGGCCTCCGGGACACAGATTTGGATGATAATAACACACAGACATCTGTAATTTCGTTGAGAGGGGGGTGGGGGCAAATCGAGTCCCATGCCTGAACGTTCACCTATGGGTTCTCTGGACCCGGGGGAGACCCACCAGGAATCAGCTTGACTGGAGTATGGAGGCGGGGTCTGGGGAAGTTCCATTCTGGATGGCGGAGAAGCATGGGGAAGTGAAGCACAATATGGACATCGGAAATAGGCCCTAAGAACCAGATTACGGCAGCTCAAAGAGTATGAATCGAACAGTGTGAGGGACTCCAAAATATAAAGAGACGCGTCTCCCATACCTTTCATTTACTATCATGTTTCCATCTTCCATTGATACTGTCTCCGCTATACAGCTGTTACTTGTCGAGATCATTCATAATCATGGCCAATGAAGAGAGGTCCACAGCCCAGTCAGGCATCGGCACGCCCCCTCCCATTGGAAACGACAACGCCGCTACGGATCATGTCACCAAGAACCCCTCTCTGATGGAGGCTAACGAAGCCAATGATAAAGGCAACCTTCTACCTACCCCTGAAGAACAGATCGAGGCTCTTGGTATCACCAACTGGCGTGATCTCGAAAAGCAGGTCGTCAAGCGTCTTGACATGACCCTCATGCCATGCTTATGGGTACTCTATCTATTCAACTATCTAGACCGAGCTTCCATTGCGTAAGTCACTGCCTAAATGAGATGAGAAAGGCCAGTCTGTACTTTTGCTGATTCAACGTAACCGCTTCAGACAAGCTCGCCTTAGTAGCCTGGATGAAGATCTCAATCTTGAAGGCTACCAGTACGGGACTGCAGTATCGATTCTCAGTGTCGGGTGAGCGAATCAACCACCAAATCTACTTTCGTTCATGTCGACCTCTGACTTTGGAATGAAAGATACGTCCTCGGTCAAATACCATCCAATATGATCATTGGAAAAGTGCGACCCAGTCTCTATCTTTGCTGTATGGCTTTGGTCTGGTCTAGTGTCTCGGCAGCAACCTGTGGTGTCAAGAATTACCAGGGCCTCATTGCCGTCAGATTCTTCCTCGGCGTGGTCGAAGCACCTCTGTTCCCAGGTGTACGTTATTAGAATCCAAAATCCGTCCACCTTCGTCCGTCAAGCATTCTCCTAACAGCTCTCCAGGCTATCTACGTCATGTCTTGCTGGTACACCCGCAAGGAAATGGCGTTGCGCTGCGCACTATTATACACTGGCCAAACACTCGCTTTCTGCACCGCTGGTCTCATTGCAGCGGCCGTATTTGGAACCTTGGAAGGCAAGTATGGCTTGGCAGGCTGGCAATGGCTGTTCATCGTTTTGGCGTCAACAGGTGCAGGCCTTGCCATGATTGCTCTCTTCATTCTCCCAGATTACCCCGATTCCAATACTGGTAGCGCCCGCTGGTCTATGACGGAGGACATGCGCAAATTGGCTGCTGCTCGCATCCTGGCCGATCGTGTGTCAACTTCGGAAGCCAAAGCTGGCGTTTGGGCTGGTCTGAAGATGAGCATTTTCGACTATAAAATGTGGCTGCTTGTCGGCATGAACATCGGAATCTCAGCTGCATATGGTTTCTCAAACTTCTTCCCATCAATCGTACGGGGATTTGGCTACAACAACACCATCACTCTCGTTCTTACTGCTC